AGGGCGCGCGCGCGTTCTCGGCGGCCCGCGCGCGGCTGGTCCAGCGCCGCCGGGGCGGGCGGGCGGGGAGCCGCGGAGCCCCCGGGGAGGCGGGGGCGGCCTCCCTCCCTCCTCCCATTCCCCCTCCCGCTTGCGCCCGGGGAAATGATCGGGCCGGGCGGTGGGAGGCCCCGCGGAGGGGGGGCGGGGGGGTGGTCCGGCGGCCCGGCTGAGGACCTCCACCCCCGACCCCTCCTCCCGCCCGCATGGGTGTGTGCCCCTTCCAGGCTGGCGGGAAGGCTGGGAAGGACTCCGGAAAGGCGAAGACAAAGGCGGTTTCCCGCTCGCAGAGGGCTGGCTTGCAGGTCAGTGGGGATCGCCCCTCGGGGAGGGCGGGCGGGTCCCCGCCGCGCGTGGGCTCGGGCGGGAGCGGGGCGGCGGTGGGAACGCGGGCACCCGCTCTCCCCCACCCGGGGAGAGATTTGGCGGGAGTGCCGGCCCCCGCCCGGCCAGATCGTTTTTGTGCATTCTTGTGCTTTCCCCAAGTTCCCCGTGGGCCGTATTCATCGGCATCTGAAGTCCCGGACAACGAGCCACGGGCGCGTGGGAGCCACCGCCGCCGTGTACAGTGCGGCCATCCTGGAGTACCTGACTGCGGAGGTAAAGGGCTGCTGCTGCGGCTCGTCGGAGCCAGCGCCGGGGAGGGAGGAGGAGCTGGAGGGGAGGGCGGCCGCGGCCGCAGCCGCCTCGGGACGCCAGGGGGAGCCCGCGGGCCCGGGGCCGGGGTCCGGCGCGGGAGCCCAGCCGAGCCCCCGCACTGATTGGAGGCTCTTCCCCGCAGGTTCTGGAGCTGGCAGGAAATGCATCGAAAGACTTAAAGGTGAAGCGCATCACCCCTCGCCACTTGCAGCTTGCCATTCGCGGGGATGAAGAGCTGGACTCTCTTATTAAGGCAACAATTGCTGGTGGTGGTACGTAGCTGACGTTACCTACGGTTGCCGGAGGGAAAACCACTATGAAGTTGCGATCGAGCTTGCACTTGGGTTTTAGAGTAGACGCTACTGATGACTTTTTAGAGCTACAATTTAGTGTGTCAGTCGGTAGAAAAGCTGCCCTTCCATATGCAGGCAGTTGGTATTCTGCATCTAAGCTCTGCAACAGATTGGACACAGTCCGCTTTCGTTGAAATGGAAAAATAATGTTCTTTTTTGAAGTTGGACTAATTAGTGTTTTAATTAAGAACTATAAAGAGGGGCAAATACAGATTCTATTCTAGTGCTCTTAAATAGGTATTTTGCATCATGCTTTGAAAAAAGAAAGCTTCTAATCCTTTGACACTCTTATAGGTGTGATTCCACACATCCATAAATCTCTGATTGGAAAGAAAGGACAACAGAAGACTGTTTAAAGGATGCCTGGATTCCATGTTATCTCAGGACTCTAAATACTCTTGACAACTGTCCAGTGTTGGTGATTTCCAGTGGACTGTATCTCTGTGAAAACCACAATTTTGCCTTTTTGTAATTCTATTTTGATTAAGTTGGAAGCTTTCTTAGCTTTCCAGCCAACCAAATTTCTGCATTGAAGTCTTAACCATATTTAAGTGTTACTGTGGCTTCAAAGAAGCTATTGATTCTGAAGTAGTGGGTTTTGATTGAGTTGACTGTTTTTAAAAATCTGTTTGGATATTAATTGTGATGCAGAAGTTATAGTAACAAACATTTGGTTTTGTACAGACTTTTATTTCCACTCTGGTGGATAAGTTCAATAAAGGTCATATCCAAAACAAGTTTGTTTCTTGAATTTTCATGTTTTATAGCAGAGACATAGATCTGTTTTGTTCCAAATGCTCTTAAGTCAAATGAACCATCTGAAAATACACAGCCTGATAACTTAAACATACGTTTTTCTTGATCAACTAGAATAGGAAATAACTTCAACTCAGAAGCAAATCATATGCATCTGCAGCTCTAAAAAAAGGTGATGCATTAAAAATAGTAAAGGTTGTGACAGCATTTTTCAAAGGTTGAGAAGCTTCTCAGTTTGTGTATATACCTGTGTACATACCTGTGTACCTCTGTCCCCACTAATATAACTTTGCCGGACATAATCAGGAAAAGATAGTACTGTAGGTCACCACAGAAAGGTAGATGGAGACCTAAGCAACTCATCCTGAAACATAATCCTTGGATGAATTAGACCAAACTATAGGTAGGGGCCCATAAAGGAAAGAAAGCATTAAGTCTGTGAAAACAAGATGACAGCTATTATTAATGAGTGGATCTTGTATACCTGTATTAATACTATGTATTAATGAGTGGATCTTGTATACCTGTATAAAAGACCAGTGTTTACCAGAAAACCATTTGTCACAACTTTATTTTTGGTGTCTTTATCAAATGTGGTTTTTTTCCAGGTTTTCTCAATGTTTACTTTTGAATATTTTTTTTTGTCTTGAACTAGACACATTTGTGCTGCTATCCTCATTTTTAAAAGTCCTACCATTTTGTGTGTGCACGCCAATGTGTGTATATATGTATATACATATAGGAAATGCAGTTGCAAATCAGGATTTCACAGCAAAAACCTCCATTTTAATGGCTTGTGCTTAAGTGGATTTCGAAATTTAGTTGGTTTAAAATTAGACCCTTTACCAGTAGATCAATGGTTCTTTACTAAATGGGCTTCCCGAAATATCTGAATGTTCAAAATTAGATTAGTTCTATTATGGCTTGTTGCCAATTTAGTAGGGCTTGACCAACACTTGTGTTCTGTTTGAGCAGCCTTCAGAAAGTCAGTTGCCATGGGATACAGTGTGAGGCTGACTAGTGAAAGCTGTATTGACACCTTAGTAAAACGAGCATAAAAATGAGTGCTGCATGTTGAGAAGTCCTTTTTACTATCAAAATACTATAATACGTGGTTTTAGGGACATGGCAATTTACTGCAGATGGCTAATAAAGCAACTTTTGTTAAAACGTCTTGCCAGCTAAGCGATGGATTTGCACTTTTGGGTTTTGGGGTTTATCAGTTGTTTTAAATCTGGAGAAAACGGAAAACGGTGTGTTTGGGGATGGAAAGCTAGCAGGGGCCGAGGTTAAGCAGCCTGTCGCTTACATGGCACATGGTATGTGCGCAGTGACTGCAGGCCCGCGGTGGGCGGGGAGGCGGGCCTTCTGTTGGCCCCGCCTCCTGCACGCCACTCGCGGGTTACCATGGAGGCGGTAACTCGACACCGTCGGCCGGTTGGGCAGGGTGCACTCCGTGAGGTTCGGCGGGGAAACCAGGTTCCCAGCGCCCCCTAGGGAACGACAATCCCGAAAGCCCAGGCCGGGGCCTCCCCAAATCCTAACCTGCCCCAGTTGCAGTCACCCCGTCCCTGCCACATCCTCCGGGCCAGGGCTTTCTCGGCGCGGGGGGCGGGGCTCCCGCCCAGCCGTCAGTCAGTGCCCCGGGCGCCGCAGTGGTGACGGCCTGCCCACCCCTCCGGGGGCTCGGTGGTACCACCCGTCCCCCCCCCCCCCCCCGCCGTCGGGCCCCGGTGGTAGGCTCCGCCCGGCTCCTGCGCCCTCCCAGCCTCGCTCTGCGGATTCGCTTCGGACGTTTCGGCACTCCAGCCTCGGCAGCCCCTGCACTGCCTGAGCCGGGCCCGCCTGGGCGCTAGTGCCGGCCGGGGTAGGGGTCCGGGATGCGGCCTGCCCTAGGCCTAGCCGCCGCTGCCGCAGGGTCGGGAGGCCGCCCGTGAGGAGGCGGAGCCGCCTGCCCCCTCCCCCCAGGCCTGCGCCCCGGCCCGGCCCTTCCCCCCCCCCCCCCCCGGGCGCCCCGCCCCGGCCCGCCCCCTCCCCCGCCCCCGCCTCCGCCGCTCTGGCTTCCGCCCCCTTCTCGCTGCGCTGCCGGAGGAAACGGAAGAAGGAGCGAGCCATGGAGGGGAACCGGGACGAGGCGGAGAAATGCATCGAGATCGCCCGAGAAGCGCTGGAGGCCGGCAACCGCGACCGGGCCCTGCGCTTCCTGCACAAGGCGGAGAAGCTCTACCCGTCCCCCACGGCCCGCGGTGAGTGAATCCGCCGCCGCCGACCTCGCCTCGGCCGCCGGGCCCCGCCGGGGGAGGACGGGGAGGCCCGGCCCGGCCGCTCCGGCCCGACACACCCCCGCGGGGCCTGCAGCCCGGCCCGGCTCCTCTCCTCCTGCCCGGCTGCGCTTCGAGGTGCCCGGACGGCCTCCGCGGGCCCCGGCGCGGGGATTGGGGCCGAGATGCCCCGGGAGAGCCGGGCGAGCCCTCGGGGACCACCCCCCGGCCTGGCAGCCATCGCTCCAGGGGCTGAGCAAACAGCCGCGGGTCCCCTGGGAGGCGAATGTCGGGGGAGGGCCGCGGGCTGGGCCGGAGCCGGGAAAGGACCCGCTCCCGGGGGTCAAACGCCGATTGCGGGGTGCGGTGCGGTGCGGCGCGGCGGGCGAGGCCTGGACCCCCGAGCCGAGGCAGCCGTTTCTTGGGGTGATCCAGCCGCAGAGGCCATGCTCTGTGTTCGGGTCACCCCCAGCTGGGCCTCTGCCCGGCCCAGGAAACTTTAAGAACAGAAAGGGGCTTGGGGGCTGGTTAAGTGATGCCCCTGTGTCCGTGCCCTTTGCTTCTCGCCACTTACCTCCACGTTAACCCTCTGGTCCGTGAGCCTTAGGAAAGTTTAACTTTTTTAACTTAAGCCACTTAAAATCAGCTGCTTGTCATTGTTGTTAGCGACTCTGGAGAAATCATCTAGTCCATCCCCTTAATTTTACAGCCGAGGAAACAGGCCCAGGGAACTTAAGCGACTTATGTTAATCAGCAAATATTTGGTAAAGGTCTATTTTGTAAAGGTCCGGTAGGGAATAGGAGAAATATAGATATCCCTGCCCAGTTATGTTGGCAGGACACTCACTGGCCACCCAGTCTACCCCTACCTGGAAAAGAATCCTTTCCACATTTTGTGGACAAATTGTCTTTCAGCCTTTGCTTAAAAACATCCGGTGAGGTGGGATCCACTGCCTCCTGAAGCCACTTATTCCACTATTAGGCAAATTTACCTCTGCAACTTTGATCTGTTATTCCTAGATCTGCCCTAGGGGGCCAAACAAAACCAATTCCTTTTCCATATGCTAGTCTTTCAAGTACTTGAAAAGAACTGTCACGTCAGAGAGTTGGAAGGGACAAGTGGAAATCATTTAGACCAACTAATTTTAGAAATGAAAAAACTGAGCCTTAGACTAATCCTTGCCCAGATGACAGGAGTGGTAGACCCGTTCAGGGCCTCTGGCTCCTCATAGAGCCATCTTTCCACTATACCACCTAAGTCTTCTCTTCTGCAGGCAAAATTTTTCTCTTTCCTTCAGGTTCATCACATGATTTGAATTCAAGGTCTTTCATAAGCACCTGACACATAGCTATCTATTTAAAAATGCCTGTCACTGGATTAGTTGCCTTCATCTGGACACTTTCTTGATTATCAGTATCAGTAGCCTTCCTAAGATATGGTGTATGAAACTATGGTTGTACCAGGACATGGCACAGTAGACCTGTCTTTTTGTTCTTGGAGGCTGTGCCTCTCAGTGCAGCCCCAGCACACTGTTAATTCATACTGAATTTACAATCCGCAAAAAACTCAAGGTTTTTTTTCCCTTCAAACTGTTGTCTAATCGTGCTTTCTTATATCATATGTAAAGTATATCTATCTATAAGACAACGTTTATAAGAAGGGCCTGTGATTTCAAGAAGGAACCTATGAGAACACCCTCAGCAGCTCTAACCTCAGAATGGCTTAGTTGACAAGACTTGGGAGCTGTTTGCAACATTTAGAGCTTAAGTGACTTGCCTAGGGTCACTTAACTAGTAAGTGTCCCAAGGTGGGTCCTATTGACTCCCAACCCCAGAACTTTTATCCACTCTGCTGTGCTGCCTCAGTAAGACTTCACATTTTCATTTTAGATTTCATCTGATTGGATTCAGTCTAAAGCTGTAGCCTATAAAGCTCCTAACTGTTGCTCCCGACTTTGTGAAAATCTTCATATTTAATGAGCATGCCACCTATGCCATTATTTACACCATCGATTAAAGTGTTAAAACAGCACAGCACTGAGTTCAGATCCTTGTTTTACTCAAGGAGTTCAGTTACTAAAACTCGTTTCTATCTCTGCAACATCTCTAACATTTGTCCTCTTCACTCCACTCTCACAGCTACCACTGTCATTCAGCCTCTCCTCACCTCTCATTTGTGCTGGAGTCTCTCCACGCAGCCACCAAAGTTTTCCTCAAGTACACATCTTACTATGTCACTCCCTAGTCAGTGAACTCCAGTAGCTCCCTAGTCCCTCTAAGATCAAATATCAACTCCTCTGTCTGGCATCTGAGAGTTTTAACAACCTGGGCCCTTCCTATCCTGGCATTCTTAGACATTCCGCCCATCTGCACACTCCAAGGCCAGACTCTACCAGCTTCCTTGTTCCTCACCCATGACATTCGGTCCCTTGTCTGTCCCTTAGAATCCTGAGTTTCCTTCAGCACTCAGCCCAAGCACCATCTTCTGCAGGAAGGCTTTCCTGGTCCTGCTTCCTTGTATCTACTGTGTTGTATGTGTCTTGTAGAGACAGATTTATGCATCTCTGTTGTTAGAATATGTTCCTGGAGAACAATGACTGTTTTGTTTCTTTTGTCTTTTTATTCTCAGTGCCTGGTAAACAGTAGGTCCTTAATAAGTGCTTGTTGATTGATTCAAGATAAGCACATGAGTTATCACAAAGCAGTGTCATGGATTAGTA